CAAAAATTGAACTTGATGATCTTGGAGGTCTTTCCCAGCCTTTCTGATTCCCTGCTTGTGCGATTAAAATGGAGTTTTCTGGATTTTGGCAGCAGCTTCAGCCCCATTTCACAGCTCATTCCCTCTCTGGCCAGCACAGAGAGCCCTGCAGAGCTGCTGGGGCAGGAGCCACTGCACACAGGCCCAGCCCCTCTTTTGTGCTCATTAGCAGAAATGCACAGTCAAACATGCAAAAGTTTGAAAAGACCAGAAATTAAGGCTGCCTTCAGCTGCCTAATTAGGCCCCTGGTGAGCAGGGATGGACTCCCAGCATTAATCACCCCCCTACCACACTCCAGCCTCTGGTGCTGTTGCAGCTTTTTTGTTTGTTGAATTACAAAGTATTTCTTTTCTTGATGACCTTTGGCAAAGCACAGCTCACCTTCCATATCCCCCCTTCCATAAATCCCCTTCCATATCCCCCCTTCCATAAATCCCCTTCCATATCCCCCCTTCCATATACCTCCTTCCATAAATCCCCTTCCACAGACCCCCTGCCACAGACCCCCTGCCACACATCCCCTGCCACACATTCCCTTCCATAATCCCATTCCATATTCCTCCTTCCAAACCCTCTTCCACACATTCCTTTCCACAGATACCCTCCTACAAACCCCTTTCCACAGATCCCCTTCCACAGATCCCCTTCCACACATCCCCTTCCACAGATCCCCTTCCAAACCTCCTTCCAAACCCTTTCCACACATTCCCTTCCACACATCCCCTTCCACACATCCCCTTCCAAACCTCCTTCCAAGCCACCTTCCACACATTCCCTTCCATAAATCCCTTTCCACACATCCCCTTCCATATTTCCCCTTCCATAAATCCTTTTCTACACATCCCCTTCCACAGACCCCCTTCCATAAATCCCATTCCACAGACCCCCTGCCACACATCTCCTTCCACACATTCCCTTCCATAATCCCATTCCATATTCCTCCTTCCAAACCCTCTTCCACACATTCCTTTCCACAGATCCCCTTCCATAAATCCCCTTCCACAGATCCCCTTCCAAACCTCCTTCCAAGCCCCCTTCCACACATCCCCTTCCATAAATCCTTTTCCACACATCCCCTTCCACACATCCCCTTCCATATTTCCCCTTCCATAAATCCTTTTCTACACATCCCCTTCCACAGACCCCCTTCCACAAATTCCCTTCCACAGACCCCCTTCCATAAATCCCATTCCACAGACCCCCTTCCATAAATCCCCTTCCATACATCCCCTTCCATAAATCCCCTTCCACACATTCCCTTCCATAAATCCCTTTCCACACATCCCTTCCAAACATCCCCTTCCACAGACTCCCTTCCACAAATTCCCTTCCACAGACCCCCTTCCATAAATCCCATTCCACAGACCCCCTTCCATAAATCCCATTCCACAGACCCCCTTCCATAAATTTCCTTCCACACACCAGGACCTTCCTGTGCCCTTTTCCCTGAAAAAAAAAAAAAAAAAAAGGGCCTGTGAGAGAATCAAATGTGCTTTTGTTTTTTTTTTTGGCAGAAGCCAGAGGCTGGTTGGGAACAGCCCCTAAATGCCATCGGCACAACTGGCACCTGGAAGAGCATTTTGTCTGGCAGGACAGATTGGAATTGATTGGGATTTCTTGGGATTTATCGGAATTTCTTTGCTCCAGAGCTCTGTCCACGTCAGGAATGTTTAATTTTGCTGCCTCTCCTCAAGGGCAGCACAAGGCAGAGGTTCCCCCAGCCCCGTGGCACTGAGCACCAAACTTGCTCTTGGGGGGACCTGAAGCTCTTCCAGGGTTTTTTTTAAACTGGAGAAACACTTGGAGATCCCAGAGATCCCCATAAGAGCCCATTAAATAGGAAAAAACTCCCTAATATCCCAGTTTTCCTTGCTGGCTTAAGCCAAAGGGAGAAGCAAGGCTGGGAAGAAGCATCTCCAGTGACTTTGTTCCTGGAGGGGATGGATGGCAGCAGTGGGAATTTGCCTGCAGGCAGGAATGCAGTGAGGCTTATTTGGGTTTTAGCTGCTGGGATGAAAGGCAGAGCTGTTCCTGCAAGGACAGTTGAGCTTTTCCTGCAGATCCAGCCAGGCAGCAAAAAAAAAAAAAATCAAGTTGTGCTGAACTGTGACTTTGGCCAGATGAGCTTGGCAGGGAGTGTTATTTTGTGGTTAAACTGAGGCATCCAGGGCCTTTTATCAACTCTGTTTACCACATTTAATTATGAGAGACTCATAAACTATGCATCTTCTCTGATTTATGTATATATATAAGTATATATATATTATATATTATATATTATATGTATTGTATTATATATATTATATATAAAAATATACACTTATACACATATATATACACACACACATGGGTTTTTTCTCCTTATGCACCAAGAGGTAAAATCAAGTGATTCTTGGTGCTCCCATTGTCTTGTTTTAAGGGTTTCAGTTCTCTGATTGTTCTTCTGGAGCTGCTCTGAGGTGAGAGGAGGCTTTGGAGCTGCTCAAATGGGAAGATTCAGGCAGCAGTTTTGGCCAAGTTGCTTCCTGGCTGCAAAGCTCAGAGCGACAGAGAAATGGAGCTCCAGAAGGTGTAATATTTAAACTGGCCAGTTCAGCGGGTTTAGAAAGGGGTGGGAGATGGTTGGGAGGTGTCTTGGGCACAGAGAGATCCTGCAGTCCCTGAGTGGACACAGGAGCTGTTCGTGGTGGGGAGATGGAGAGGGAGGGATGGGACAGCAGCTCTCAGCCCCCTGCCATGCCTCGGGGCAGATTTTGGGGTGAAACAAGTGGTTCCAGACCAGACACGAAGAAATCTTCCTGTCTGATTTTGGGGTGAAACAAGAGATTTCAAACCAGACATCAAAGCTCTTCATGTCTGATTGTGGGGTGAAACGAGTGGTTCCAGACCAGACATGAAGAAATCTTCCTGTCTGATTTTGGGGTGAAACAAGAGATTTCAAACCAGACATCAAAACTCTTCAGGTCTGATTTTGGGGTGAAACGAGTGGTTCCAAACAGGAGAGAGGGTCAGAGGGGCACCTGGGCACCATCAGTGATGCCAAACTGCACCAGAGGGGGAACCCAGCAATACTTCACATCACCACAGAACCTCAAAATCCCAGAAAATGCTGAGCTGGAAGGGACCCCCAAGGATCCTGGAGTCCATCCCTTACCCTGTCCCCAACAGCCACATTCCTGCAGAGCCAAAAGGCCCCGTGCCCCTTTCCTGACTCCAAATCCTGGCTCTGGGGGGGGTTTGGCTCCCAATATCTGTGCAGAGCCAGGCAGTGCTTTGGGTTGTTGCCTCTGCAATGGAGCTTCCCCTCCGAGCACGGCAGAAGTGGAACCTCTGTTCAGTCATGAACAGAACTCTGACAGCACAGCCATTCATTGAGAGCCAATAACGCTTTTCCATCCCACTGACTCGGGGAATTGTTCCTGGGAAGGCCCAGACTTGCATCCTCATCTCCCTTCCCCAGGCAGGGACCGGGAGCTGGACCTTCTATCACTTCCCACACCTTTGGATCGGGGGATTTGCTGCTCGTTGTTCCCTCTTAGGAAAATGTAACGAGTCTGCCCGGGGCTCTTTAAAGGTAATGTTGCATGAAATGCAGGGATAAACCAAAGCAGGCAGCTCCAGGAGTACAAACATCCCAGCAAACTGCTCTCCCATCACCCAGGCTCTTCCAAATGGGTTTATTATGTAAAATGGCTCGGCCTGGAGAAAACTCAACCACTGCCAACCCAGCAGGGCCAGGCAGGGATTTAATTCCTTATTTAGATAGGAAATTTAAAGGAAATCACACCAGATCCAAGCAAACCCCTGACAGGACTTGTCACCACCTCGTTCCCAGGCTGAGGAAGTGCTGAAAATTGACTTTTTTTTTTTTATTATAGGAAGGTTTAATTTACTCCAGGGGCTTCTCATCAATAGGAATTAGTGCCAAGAGACCTGTGTACGGATTAACCCTTGGGAACAGCCCTTTTTATACCTGTACCACCCTTGGAGAGAGGTTATTACAGTTATTGAAGGTGAAAAGGTGTAGAGGTGTTGCATCATTAGCCCAGGTCCAGAGGCAACACTTATTCTTTGCACCCTCCCCAGCTCAAAAAGCACAGAACCAATAAAACCAGTAAACACCTTCACCTGTCAATGCACAACAACAAATTCCAGAGCCACGAAAGTCAGTGGAAAGTGAACCTGCCCACGTCAGGGGGTTGGAACAAGATGATTTTTAAGGTCCCTCCCAACCCAAACCACTCCACAATTCCATGATTCTGACCCAAATTCAGTGGGCATCATCCAAAAAGCTTCATTTTCAACTTCACCACCTTGAATTTGAAGTGGGTGAAGCGTCTGGCGCAGCTCTTGCTGCCCCTGATCATTCCCACACGTTTGTTCCTCGGATCTGGGCATTTTATGGGGTTTTTTTCAGCCTCATTGCAAACTGGCACCTCATGTTTGGTAATAAAGCTGGCTGGCCCTGGCTGAAAGCTGCTCTTCTTCTTCTTCACCCTTCATCCCCTGCTGCCAGCAACTGTTTCCATGGGCCCTCATTACAGAAAGGAGGGGAAAAAAGCACCAGGTTTATCAAATCTCACCAGGGTGGCAAAAATCTTGGCATGATCCTCGTCACGACTCCTTTTTTTTTTTTTTTTTTTTTTTTTTCTATTTTAAGCTTTCAGTGAATTAAAATAAAAACACCCACGTTCCTCCCGGGCTGAAACTCAATCCTGGACCTTCTTTGCTTCTGTTCCCAGCTCTCCTGCTCCCTGGGGGGTGATTCCTGCCCTGAGCCTGGTATTGTTTTTTTAATAAAACAGAGCAGAAAAGTCCAAATTCATCCCTTCAGAGGGCAGGGATGGACTTGATTAATTCTAGTGAGATCAGAGGGTATTACTGTTAATTCATCTACATACTGGAGAGGTGGCCAGCATTTTCCAGAGGACACATTCAGGTGTGAGCTGTCACAGCCCATGGCCTTTAATTGCTGGTGTCACTGAGTAATTCCAGGGATAAAGGTCTCCAAAGATTAACATCTTGCAGCCTGCTCAGAAAAGGAGAGAGCTGAGCATTAAAAGAACAAGTTCAGTTTCCCCACCCTGAAAATGTGGATGCTTACGGGGTTTTTTCCCATATGGAAAAGTCACCTCTGTGACTTTTATTCAATATAATAATATATATATAATATATTATAATATAATTATATCATATTATATTATAATTATATCATATAATATATAATACATATAATATATAATAATATATTGCATATAATAATAATATATAATAATATAAATATAATATAATTATATTATATATTTTATAAATATTATATATAACATATAATTATACATGATATAAAATATACTAATTATATAAAATATATAATTATATGTATAATAATGTTGCACAAACCCACCAACACACCTCATCCAGCTGTAAATTTTCTTGCCAAAGGACTGATTTAATGATATTTAAAGGTTGTTTTCCCACGCAGAATGGCTCGAATCTGCTCAGCAGACTGTGAAACTCTGCAAACGGGCACACAAGAAGCCTCAGCACAGGGGGAAGCAGCTCCATCAATCCCTGGATGTCTGGAAGCACCAGGGGGATTTCCTGGCGGTTTTTTACGCCAGGCCTCGTTTTGGCTGAGGAAGTGCCAGGGATTGTCACGGCCTTGTCTTTATGGATGAGATGCTTCCATGTTTCTGGAGCTGGCAGCACACAGGGATCCTCCCCGAGGCCCAGGGGGGATCCCCAGGAAAAGAGAGGAGCTCGTGGTTGGCATCTTAAAGCCCAGAGGCTTCCAGAGTCCCCCAAGCCCCCCCATGACCCTGTAAATCCAAAGAACTGATGCAAATCAGCTCCTTCCCATCCTCCTTCACGTTTCTGGGATGAAAATATCACAGAAATTAAGGCTCCCCACGTCCTGAAGTTGAGCTGCAGAGGAATTTGCTGCTGGGTGCTCCAGGGCAGGGCCATTTCCAGCAGGGAGAGGAGGGTGTTTGAGGGAGAGATCACCCTAAACCAGGAGCAGCACCTTGTTTGCACAGGGAAAGCACAGGGAGGCACAGAGGGATGTTCTGTTCCAGCTTTTTGTGACACAGAGGTGGGGGATGCCAGGGCAGCTCCACGAGCCCAGAGGCTCCTGTGGAGCCCCCCAGGACCCTGTAAATCACACTCTGAGCAGATGAACTGCTTCCAGCCAGCTCCTTCCCACTCTCCCTCACACTTTAGGGATGAAAATATCAAAGAAACGAGGCCTCCCCATGTGATAAAGTCAAACTGCAGAGGAACTTCTCCTCGGTCAGAGCAGTGGGTGTGCCAGGGCAGCACCATTTCCAGCGGGGAGAAGAGGGTGGGTGTTCAAGGGAGAGATCCCCCTGAACCAGCAGCAGCCCCCTGCTTGCACAGGGGGAGTCTGAAGAGAGCCAGAGGGGTGCCCTGCTCCAGCTCCTTGTGCCACAGAGAGGGGGGGGTGCCAGGGCAGCAGCTCCACGTTGAACAGCCACACGGAGGGACAAATTAACTCCAATTAAATCACATCCTCCCTTCCACCCTTCCCTCCTCGGGGAACATTCCAGGCCCCTGAAGACGCAGCAGAGCTCCAGGGGTGGGATAACTCCTGGGCCACACTGCTGGGGGCTGGGGGCACCTCAGAGCTGCAGGCTCTGAGCTGTGTGATCCCCAAACCAAATCCTAAAGGTGCTGGGCTCTTATGGGCAGGATCAGTGTCCCCAGCTATGGCTGTTGTTCATCCCAACATCTCCCCAGTGAGTCCCAGTTGGCAGCAGACACTGTGCCCTGGAGATTTATCTCCACTCCCCCACCCAGAGCCAACCACACTTTACAGAATCCTTTTAGAATCCCAGAATGTGCTGAGCTGGAAGGGACCCCCAAGGATCATGGAGTCCAACCCTGAGCCCTGCACAGGCCCAGCCCCAAGAGTCCCCCCCCGTGCCCCAGAGGATCAGCCAAACCCTCCTGCAGCTCTGGCAGCCTTGGGGCTGTGCCCACTGCCCTGGGGAGCCTGGGCAGTGCCCAACCAGCCTCTGGGGGAAGAACCTTTGCCTGAGATCCACCCTGAGCCTGCCCTGACACAGCTCCAGCCATTCCCTCTTATCTCCCTGCTTTTAGTCCTGTTTGGATCCACAGTGTTTTCCTAAAGCTCACCTCGTTACTGACACCCAAACCCACACCCTTCCCTCCTCCCTTCCCCAGGAATTTAAGTGCTGTCATTAAGGGGCTGTTATTAAAGCTCCATTACTTTTACAAAACGAGTGACAGATCAGCTCGTGCTCCTCTCTGAAGTGCTATAAATAATTAAACTTCAACTAGACTTGTCAAAATAAACGAGCAGAGGAGATTTTGCTCCTCGGTGCCTTTGATTTTGTTTGTGTGTGTTGCCTCTTTTATTTTGTTCTCTTGCTAAACAGCAAAAACAGGGGGGAGCGGAGTGAGGAGGCTCTGCCACCAACCTTGCTGCTGTTCCACAGGGACTGTCCTAAATCCTGCCTGGCCAGAAAGTTTGGTGTCTTCTGCCCTGTCTTGGAGGGAGTTTGGTAGCCAGGCACCTCATCCCAGCAGTGTCACATCAGGAGAGGAAGCAGAGCTCCTTCTGGAAGGTTCATGGATCCTCCTTAGTCGCTTGGAATTTAAATACCTGACAAATCCAGCCTTCTCTGCATGAGTTACCCACAAAGCAGTGGAGATGATGCTTTTCCCCAATTTTTTGTTCATTTACAGGTTGACCAGCAACTCAAATTGCTGTGCGAGGACCTCATCCCAAATCTGCCCCAGGACCACGCTCTGAGTCCAGCCTTGCCTCCCTCAGCCTGGCTGGGCACTGCAGAGCTGGGGGACATCAGGCACCCCCAAAACACCAACTAGGGGCAGAATTAAACGGGGCAAACACATCCCAGGAGTGGGAACTTCCTGAGGTTCAGCAAGGCCCAAAGCCAGCCCAGTTCCCAAACTGCCTCCCTGGGCAGCTCAATGCCACCTCCACCCATGTCACGCCAAGTCCTTGCTCTGCACTTCTCGCTCACACAAAATGGTCCCAACAACCCTTTGGATCTCTGTTAGTTGAAAAAAAACTGCTGTAAAGGAACAAATGCAAGGCAGGGAACCAACTGGAGTCTCCTGAATAGGGTTTTGATCTCCTGAATGGCACCAATAGGCTTTTAACAAGCAGCAAGAGAGCAGAGGATCCTCGCTGCTCACACGGCTCTTGAAAAGGGATCTCCCTTGCCAAGGCACGAGTGAGAGCTCTGGGTTGTCCTCTCCAACCCATTATGCTGCAGAACCCATTCAATTCTCTCAATCCCGTGGTGCAATTCCTCGGACTCCCTGGGGGTTGATTTTTTCCCCTCCTGGAAGCCAGTCCTGGTTCCTGCTCAGTTCACACCCTGCTGCACCACTGCCCTCCACTGCCACCATCTGCACCAGGAATTCCCGTTCCCATCCTGGAACTCCTTCCATCCCTGTCACACAAATGTGGATAGAAACCACAGGACAACGTGGGAGATGCTGGTGCAGGAACTCCAGAAGGTTCCAGGAGGAGGCTCTGCTGAAAAGATCAGCACAAGGATGGAAATCCCTGTGTGCCAAACCTTCTCTCTGCCCCCAAATCTGCGTCTGCTCCAGTGGATTGTGGATCCTGCTCAAGGAACTTCATCCCTGGGTCTGCTGATCCTTCCCACTCACCCCAGAGTGGGGGACAGATCTTCTTTGGGGCTGGAGTTGTTAAAAACTGCTGCTCTCGCTGACTGAAAACCAGCCCAGAGCTGAGGGCAGGGGTGTGCTGGGACAGGAGAGCAGCCTGGGGGGCAGTGCCTGCAGCGGGCATGGAAAAGAGCATCCAGCTGGGAATGGGAACAGCTCCTGCCCAGTTTAAATGACACAGGAAAAGGGGGATTTTTCAACTGGGAGCAGGAGCTGCAGCATTTCCAGGAGCAGCACCCCATGGACACAGCTGCAGGGGGGAGGTGTTTTGGGGAATTTGGGAGGGTCTCAGGAATTTCAGGACACTGCTGGTGGGTCACCTCTGCCCAGAGGTGATGACACTTCTCATTCCTGCTCCTCTCCAAAGAGCTTCTCCTCACCTGAGCTGTTTAAAATAATCTCTTCCTTTTACAGGGCCCAGGGATTCAGAGAAGGACTGAAAGGAAGATCCTAAAAGATCCCAAACATGGGAGTTAAAGGAGAATGACTATCCCTGAAGAGGTAACTTTAGCCAATGCCAAGGAGCTGGATCTGCAGAAGGGAAGGATAAAGAGAAGGGAGAGGCTCCCACAAAGAGGAGATTCAGATCAAGAATGGATTGCAAGGGATTCCTCATGTTCAGGCAGCCTGAAGCTCTTCAGGGAGCAATTCCAGCAGCTCTCACCCCCTGCCACGGCTGCTGTCAGATTTGGGGGTCAAATAAGTGATTCCAAGCCAGATATAAAGAAATCTTCATGTCAAGATTTTTGGGGTGAAACAACTGGTTCCAAAACAGAGGCAACACAATCTTCCTGTTTGACTTCGGGCTGAAACAAGTGATTCCAAACCAGAGGTAAGGGAATACCCGTGTCTGATTTTGGGTTTGAAACAAGTGGTTCAAAGCCAGACATCAAGAAATCTTCCTGTCTGATTTTGGGGTGAAACGAACGGTTCCAAACCAGGCATAAAGAAATCTACGGGAAACAGGTGGATTTTTCCCAGCCCTGGGAAATGAAGGGAACCTTTTCCCGTCTCCTGCTCCACGTGGAAGATGAGCGGCGCCGGGGAGATGAAGTGTTCTCTGAACCCCGGCAGGTTGTTAGACGTTATTAGCATTAATTATCCCAGGCACCTCCACCAGTAATCACCAGCCAGCAGCCCCAGGGCCACCCTTGCTTTTCTCTCCCTCTAATTTCCTAATTGGAGGGGAGGAAAGGGGGAAGGAAAGGCAGGGCTGAAGTGGGAATCGCCGCGCTGATCTGCCGAGCGCTAATTGCGTGTTTGTTCGGGAGGGAGGGGAGGAGGGTGGGCAGCGCGGGGTAATTAGTGCCCATCACAGAGGCAGCTCCTGGGGAGGCTTCGGGGGCGGGGAGGGCTCTGCAGGAAAAGGGAGAGCTCAGGGATTGTGCTGCTCACCCCAAATACCCTCAGCCCCTCTCCTCTGGGGGGCTCAAGAATAAAGATTTTAGGGAGAAATCGTTCCCTGGGAGGGTGGGCAGGCCCTGGCACAGGTTGCCCAGAGAAGCTGTGGCTGCCCCGGGATCCCTGGAAGTGTCCAAGGCCAGGTTGGAGCAACCTGGAAGGTGTCCCTGCCCATGGGAACGGGATGATTTTTAAGGTCCCTTCCCACCCAAACCATTCTGGGATCTTGTGACTCTCAATTAGCCTCGTTCAGAGTTAATTATCTGTATTTGAGAAGCATCCCCTGATGCTCTCCCTACCTGGCCGTGGTTGGGGATGTTCCAGTTACATCTTCCCAAATTCCAATCTGCAGGAAACTGGTCACCTGCTCTTTCTCAAGAGTGGGCAGGAGGGACCCGGGGCTAATAAACATTTATATAAAAGCGAGATAAACCCGTGTGTGTCCCTCCCCTGCTCTGCTGCTGCCTGGGCTTCCCCCTGTCTTTGTGTGTTCAGTTCCTCTCTGCTGCGCCCAATCCTCTTTTTTATTTATTTATTTATTTTTTTAATTTCACCTTTCCCCGTGTCAGATTTGTTTTGTTAACGTCCTTTTCATCCTGAACTCTCTGCCCCTAATCCCCCAGCTTCGCTCCCCTCTTTGGATCACACACAATCATTTTCAAGTGGATTATCTTTGCCATCATTGTGGTTTTCAAGAGAAGCCTTTGGATTTAAGACCTGTTTCCTGGGGGACCCCAAGAGGAGAAAATCCTCCCTATTTTGACAACCAAATGTGAATAAATACCCTTTGAGTGCAATTTTCCCACCAATTTTGTATCTGCCTCACGGGGCCTTCCCCTGAAGAGTGTTTATTTAGGATGTCATGTGAGACCATGTCAAAAGCTTTGCTGAAGTCAAGATATATCACAGCTGAAGCCCCCCCATCCATTCACCAGCCCAGTTA